CGGCGATAACGGAGAGGAATTATGCAGGCTCTCTGCTCGCCAAGTGCTGCAGGTGATGCCACTGCCTGTAACCTTGGAAATGGCCCTGCCTTCCCAGCAAAGTCAGTTTCCACGCTTCTCCAAGCTGCAAACCGCAGCCACCTTTTGCTAGCTAATGAAAAAACTCCCTGAAGGAAGGAGGCAACAGGAATAGCAGTTTCCTCTCCCTCCCTCTGCAAATGGAGCTGGCAAGGGACTGAGCGCCGCTGCCGTGGCTCTGTCTAATGCGTGAGGAGGACGGCTACTGCCTGCCAAAGAATAGCTGCCCTCTCTCAAGGAGAATATTTTTAGCACTAATAAAAAGGTTAGTGAGCCAGGCAGAGAGCAGGCAGGTGTTGCGTGAGGTTGTGGCGTGACAGTCCAGGCTCTTCCCAGAACTGTCCCACTCAGAGCTTCTAGTCTGTACCTCCCGGGGCAGCATGGGACAACCCCAACTAAAACGAGGGAACATTCTTGTCTCCTCATCTCAACACAATCAACCGCCAGAGCAATCCCATTCTCCTGTGGGATGCGTCACTCCTGCCTACGACAGTCCCAGCCACACAGTGGCCTATCAGCACCACACGCAGGGGTCATTTCCTGAAGGGCACAGGAGCGGAGCTCCGGCAGTAAAGAGCCCAGGGGGTGGGCACATGCAACAAGCCCCGCCCCCTGCTCCCAGCAGCCCTCAGTCACAGCAAGAAGCTGCAGAGGCCCCCCCCGGCACCCCGGTCCAAAACAGTCCAGTGGCACCTTTAAGACCAAGTTTTATTCAGGTACAAGCTCTCCCTCCTCTGCAAGGACAGATCTGCATGTCCCCCCCCCCAATAGCTAGCAATCCAAAACACTCCAGTGGAGCCTGAGCAGTGGGTGTTGCCTTCTGACACACTTTGGGTGATGTCAAGGGGTGTGGCATATGCAAATAAGTTATGCTAATGAGTTATGCTAATGAGCTCCTGCACCTCTTTTCCTACGAAATGACCCCTGGCCACATGTATTCATTTTGTACACGATTAACTCTCACAGGTTCTTCCACAGAATCCTGGGAAGCACAGCCTCCCAAGGTTGCTAAGACTACTCTTGTAGAGATCCCTGCCTTCCCTCACAAGATGGCAGTTCTCAGAGCCCCTCCGGTGATGGGACAAGACGTCAACCTTTTCCATTCTGGTACAGGTGTGCCCTGAAGAAAATCCAGTCCCCACCAGTGTTCCCTCTAAGCTGAGTTACGGTGAGCTAGCCCACAGTTTTTTAGCCTCCGGCTCACACCTTTTTGTCTCCGCTCAGGAAGGAGGGCTCCAGAGCAAACTAATTTATGCAGCAGCCGAATTGCTCGCTCACAACTTAAATGCCAGCAGCTCACAAAGTAGAATTTTTGCTCACAAGACTCCGCAGCTTAGAGGGAACATTGGTCCCCACCATTAATAGCATTTCCGTCCTCCATTCCCATCCCCTACATCACGCGTGGCAAGACCAAGGCAACTCCATTCTGCAACATGGCTCTTTGACTTGGGTCTTCCAACCCCTGGAGCTCGATGCCTACATAAGTTGTATGAGACCAAGGTGCACGCTGTGCGCACACGCAGCCCATGACCAGACCTTCACCCCAGCAACAGGGAGGGAAGCCCCTTCTCCCAGGCAGCCCTCCCGGTTGTGCTAGCAGCAGCTTTGACCCGGCACTTATGAACGTCAGTGGGTGGGTGTTCCCTTGCAGATGCTCCCTGTCTCTGTTGTCCACTTACCCGAGCCTGCTACTACAGTGACGGACATACTGGGGAGCCGCCTGTTTGTTTATCTTCCTCTTCGGCATTGCTTATTTTGATGGCACATCCTTCTGGCCCAGCCCAGATTGACCCGTGGACCTTCTGCATCCTGTTTGCTAGAGCGAGCTGTGCAGAGGCAGACAGAGGTGCAGCACGGCAAACAGACCATGGTGCGTAAAAATATTCCAGGGAAATTCCTTGGGGGGAAGCCATATTTGAATCAACTGCATCTGGGTTCTTTGCAAACGAGTGGTTAAATTAAACTTGGCTCTGTACCAAGGGTCCAGGCTTGCCCTCAGACTCAAAGAGCTGTATAGTTATAGGCACAATAATTCCCCACAGTCCACATTTGGGACCACTGATAAGCAAGCAACAGCACACAATGACCAGAAAAAGCTCCAGCAGAGCAGGACAGCAAAAGGATGGAGGAGAGGGGAGAACAGCCGTTGCTTAGCATGGATACATCACCATCTCTTACAGCCATTACACTGGCAGAGACCTCTGCAAGCATCACCTTCCCCCAGAGAAAGATGAATATTTGTACCTTTTTTAAAAAAGAAAAATAAACGTCGGCCCCGGTCACACGGAGAATTTGCCACGCGAAAGGCATGAATGTCTGGCGCATTTTCAGGGCGCAATCACACCGCAACATCTGGGGAGCGTAGCGCACTTATGCCCAACCTGTGGCGTACCACCGAAGATGCGGAGTTAAAAAGTACCAAGGAAAGTGCACTAGTATCCGGAAAACGTGCGGCACAGGCAGGCGTCTGATCGCAGGAGCGCTAGTATCCCGTGGCATCTGGTGCCCATCCACATCCCGTCGCAAACCGGATGTTTTTCGTACGCGCATGCACACAAACACGAAACTGAAAGCAGTGCTGCTCCGCGGAACTGCACATGCACACAAACGTTGAACGCTTGTGTGATCGCGCAGCACAGCTTCTTTGCCACGCTGCAGCATCGTCGTGTGATTGCCAGCTAACAGCCGAAGTACGGAGACTCAGGGGACCGTGTGATCTCAGGCTACCGCACTTTATTTTGCTCCGGGGCGAACAGCCACACCTCCCCCAAGCGTTACCTGGCCCGTGTAACCAGGGCCATCTTATATCAAAAACTATCCTGTTGTGCTGTAATCCCTGAAAGTCTGAAAAGTGGTCCTAAAACTAACCCTAAATATACTCCTTGTTTTTTCTAGTCCCAGGTGAGAGGCCAGATGAAAGCAGTTGCTCCTTTCTGATGACTTTCCATCCAGAGAAAAACCCAACCATGCTCACACAATCTTTTGCTGAAAACCAGCTACTTTCCCAGGTTCTCAGATGCTCCTCATCTGTCTTCCCAATAATCTCAGTACCCATTGTCAATTTGATACAAAAGCCTGCCATTATAAATGCCAGCACAGACTGGCACTGAAACGTTAATTCTTGTGATCTCCGTACAGTTTTCCATCCAGTTATGTACACCATATACAAAAGATCATTTCAGCCTGTATCTATTTTTGGAAAAGTCAAGTCTAACTGCAGCGAAAGCACACCTCAAGTCAAGCACTGAAGAGGTGTACAAGCTTTTCCTCTGTACTGAAAGAAGGCTACCCTGACACCAAATTAATTGCTAGAATGACTGGCTCATAGGTACTTTCCCGCAGCCTTCAGCCACATTTCAGACAGACCTGCACAACTTGTTAGCCACCAAGCCAAATATAGCAAAAGCAGGAGCTGTCGTGAGACACTGACGGGATGGACATTATGTACGGCTGCTAGGCTGTGTCTGTTGTCATTTGCCACAAACTGTGGTAGCCTGCTCCAGCAGAAGCACTAGCAATATTATATTGTTTTCTGGGAACAATTAATGCCCAAGTGCACCAGCACCAGCCATCTTATTGCCCTGGGGCAGGGCAACCAGCACAAAGCAATGTGGAAGGGCTGCTCCTTGCTTGCCAAGTGGCAACTCTAACAGAGAGCCAAGGCCCCCTTTTATTTCATCTGGCATATCACAAATAGTGCCCTCTACAATCACTTGTTAAAAGAGCAGTGTAGTCTTTCACTTTCTTCCCTGCTACCTCTTAATTCATTAAAAATACAGGATGATTCAGGCGCCTGCTAACTGTCATGGGTCACTCACAGGTCACTATTTCCTTGTGGAACCAGGGATTCCACCCATCAGACACATCCACTCTACTGTCGTTTGCATGATCTGGTAAGGGGGCTGGGGACGAATGTTCTTCCTACTTGCCTTAGACTCTGATTCTTACTTGCACACATAAACAAATTAAGGGGGCTTCCCCCCCGGATAAAACTGTGTAAACCGATCCTCAGGCTTTAATGGTATTAATCCAATGTGTGAGCTTCACATTGGCACACTGCATAGCTGACATGCAGATTACACTAGACCCATCTGACCACCACAGGAGTCTGAGCCCCAGCACTGATATTACCGTTATAACCAAATTCAACTTGCCAGCCCTTTCAGCATGTTAACTGGCTTCACTATAACCTTCTGCTCCTTAGCCTGTAGGGTGGGGAGCCCCCAACCTTTCTGAGCCTGTGGGCACATTTGGAACCTTGAGAGAGAGAGTGGTGAGCCCCACCCACAAAAATGGCTTCCACGGGCAGCACAGTCAAATGGAATACTGCCCTCCTCACACCTCCTGGGAAGAAGGAAAGCCTGAAGGAGAAATTAAAGCACACTTCCTAAGGAAAGCCCATGTGCTTCCCAGGCCTCCCGATCCTTCAGCAGAAAACCCTTTCATTTCAATGATGACAGTCAATAACAAGCTCTGTCTTACAGTGGCCCTACAGTGGATGACACGCGAGCGTGGACGGCGCAGGCGGGGCGGAGCCGCGAGGACTGAGCCAAGGCCGCACCGGAGCATGCCGCGTGACAGAAGGGCCCGACCGATCCGCCACTGAAAGACTGCCAGAAAGGAGCCGGAAGCCGAGTGACACCGAAAGTCGACGTAGCTGACCTGGGAGAAAAACCCCTCCACTGGGTGCCGGTAGGGATTGTCCCCACCCCCAATAATTGTGGCCATAGGTTAGGGATAAATGAGTAACTGTAGCCGCTCAGAGACCCCTTAGGGGGTTAGAGCGGGGTAGTAAGCTGAAATAAATAAATAATAAATAATAATAATACCCACAATCACCCACATTACTTTGTGCCAGACTCAGAGAGACAGACCTTTTGTCCAACACACACACACACACGCCGAATAAGAAGTTCTCCTACCTTGACCTCAAATGCCTGCAGAAATGATTCTTCCTTGAAAGGTTCTGTTTTCAGACGTTCTGCAAGGGAAGAAACAAGACGAAGTGACGCAGGGCTCTGATTTGGTCAGACGCACAAGCTCCCTCCAGGGTTCTTGTTCTGACCCTACCCATGCCACACCGATAGCTGAGTCCTTGACAAAATTAAAAAAAAGCCTATCCACCTCCAAGAACCTTCCCAGCAAAGGCATGACTGATGAACACCAAAGATTATCCAGCCACTTCAAGCCCTACTTCAAGCCCACAAAGTACTAGATCACAGTTCCCCAGCCACAGGCATTGTCTAGGGTTGCTATAATCTGTCAGTAACCACACCAACACAAAGACATGGCACAACACAAAATTGATTGCATATAACAAATCCAATGCACATAGTGTCGGACCTGGCTCCCAAGGGACCAGTGTTCAAGTTCCAATCACTGACTTCCTGAGTGGTCTGAGAAACTCAGCCCAATCTCTACGCTACATTACTGGACAACCTACCACACTGGACTGTTGTGAGGAGGTAAGAGATGCTAAAAGAACTTGTCATGTTACACAAATCACTATTACGAAACTTTCAAGAAGAGAAAAGAATTTTGCACCCAGCTGCTGGGCACTGGCACTATATACAGGTGGACGGTGGACAACTGAATCACCCTGGCTCGTATGTCCCTTCTGAGGATAGAGAGCTCCTTCCTGTGCAGACAGTGCAGGATATCAATCCCCTGTCGATATACTTTGGGAACCCCTGGCTCCACTTGGGTTTATCACTTCAAACCAAAACAGAACTTGACTGTGAGAAGAGACATACACAGACTTGCATCATTACTTTAATAACAATCAGTAACAGAAATCAGTATGCACATAGATTTGCCTGGAGAAACCACATCAAGCCTCTTGATTGTGGAGGGAAGGATATCAGATTTTGTCCCCAAGAATTATTAAGAAAGGAAACTAGAATCTTGAACCATTTTTCCCTGACCAAAACAAAGAGCAGCAGACACCCCAATGAGGCAACTTAGCTAGAAGGGTATAACACCTGGCACAGGCCCCATGCCTACAAGGTAGTTCATTGATTCTTATCCCTTAAAATACCAGATAGCCTCAAATGGAAGCTGGCAATGATCACGTAATTCCATTTGCCACTCAGCAGCTACTTACAGGTCTATACAGACAACAAACAGGAACAGCGACAAGCATCTGCTCAAGGAGGCTGGGCAAGACACAGGCTGTACCAGCTGAGAAGCCCTGGGACACTTTCCATACTGATGGGTTAGGGAAGAGAAGTATCCCGTAGGACCACAGAATAGGCTAATCTTTGTGGTTGCACTGGTGAAGACAGGGAATGTCGCTTTCAGAGAACTAAACCCTGATCTCAGCATCAATGGCATATCCAGCTCCTGTTTGGTGTCGTGGTTAAGTGCTTTTGGTGCCGTGGTTAAGTGATTCCGCTGCACCTCCCCTTTTAGCCTGGTCCCCCCCAATGGCCACTTTGACATGCGCAGCAGCAGGTGGGGGAAAGTGTGTGATTACCTGCTCTGTTTGCCTGGATCTCCACAATGGTCAGTTGGGGGGTGGGGGGGACGGCCGGCCACGTGCGACTCTAATCTGGGAGAACCGGGTTTGATTCCCCACTCCTCCACTTGCACCTGGCTGGATGACCTTGGGCAAGCCGTAGTTCTGAAAAGAGCTGTCCTTGAAAAAGAGCAGTTTCTGTCAGAGCGCTCTCGGCCCCACCTACCTCACAGGGTGGCTGTTGTGGGGAGGGGAAGGGAAAGGAGTTTGTCAGCCGCTCTGAGACTCCTTCAGGTAGGGAAGGACGGGGTATAAATCCAATCTCTTCTTCTTCTTCTTCTTCCTACCTGAATGGCCTAGACACTTCCATTCTCTGAGCTATAGCAACCAGAAGTGAAACCCACCACTACTATCATACATGCGCAAGCAGCAAATGTCCAGGTTTGGCTGCAGTGCTCGGAGGCGGAAGTCAAAGGAGCTCCACTCAGGCTCCTTTACTAACTGACACCAGCACCAGCTTCCGGGATCCCAGCCACATACTCAGACGAAAAGGAGGACTTTGGCTGTCCTCCAAAGGCTTCAGCTACTGGCCAGTGTCCCGCTTTCTCCATCCTTAGGGCGCTGACCCCAAAGTTTCTGGTGACTGGTCTGCAGCAGCTGCACAGGTACAGCTGGGTAATGGCCAAACGCTGCACACACGGTGCCATGCTGAGCAGGTAGCCCCCTCCTCACCTCGACTCAGAGCAGCCCCACTCTCCTGGTAGTCTTCAATCTCTGCGTCCTTCTGGAGCAGCAAGGATGCCAACTCCCGCACCTGCCTCTGCAGTGCCAGGCTCATCGCCATCAGGGGTCGCACAAGGTGGCGGGAGATCTGGTACAGGGCACAGAGGTGAGAGCAATGGTTAAGCAGTGACAGTGGTGAGTCTGGGGCAAGTAATAATAACTGAAACCAGGTTCAAGGATGTTTGAAGGGCCAGTAAAGACATACGCATCCACAGCTGAAGGCATGAGGCTACGGGGGGGGGGGGGGGGGGGGGGGTCTGAGAACCTAGCAAAGGCATACTGCAGGTGGGAAGAAGCATTTCTGTTATGTATCATCCGGGAGCGAATTCAGGATCACGGGTGCCCTCAGCACTGACCCATCTTGGTGCCCCCCTCCTTTCCACACTGACCCCCCAGTCCATTTGAGTTGTTGACCTGTCTGACCAGATACACAATGCAGGTTGCAGCAATACAAAACTTTATTCATATGATAACACCATAGACTGTACAAACTAAGCCAACCTTGAGCTACATAAAGTTCTTTTCACCCTTTTCCTAACTTTGTGGTGCCCTCTTTGGCCCTGGTGCCCTAAGCACGTGCTTCGTCTGCTTCATGGTTAACCCGCCCCTGATATCATCCTAGTCTGCAGCATGGTCAGGAGTCGGACTACGCTGGTCCTCAGTTTACAGGTGGAGCTGCCTGCCTTTCTGTTGCCTGCCGGCAGAGGTCTCCTTAGCAAGATGATCAATGAACGGTTTCAAAGATAAGGAGTACTACGGAGACGGCAACACGTGCTGCATATACGCAAGCATCCTATCTCATACACTGGCCATATCAGCTCCTCTGGCAATCCAAAAACAGAGCATGGAGGTCGAGGCCTTTCCCTGATGTTGCCTCCTGGCTCCTGGATTCAGAGGCTGATGGCTTCCCTGCAGTCACCATGGCTAGTAGCCACTGACAGGCCTCTCCTTCTGCCCTCTCCTGTCTTCCAGGCTACTGTAGAATTGCCACATCTTCAGAACTGCAGCTGAAGGAAAGAAAGATATTCAAAGACAAAATTAATCTTTTACCCTCAACACCTGCCTTGATCCAGCTCCAGTGCTCCAGATTTCAGGCTCAGCCCTGGCTAAGTGCATTGGCAAGATACGGCTGCTCCAGAAAAAGTTCTAGCAAGTCCTATTCTATCCTGAATGGAAAAAAAGAAAATCTACCTTCTTGGGAAGTGAGAAGAAAAAATTCACTTGTGGGTCACGGCCGGCCCATCCATATCCACCCAGAGCATCACAAGCAAGAAGAAAATGCTTTCCCAACTGCGTATGTTTGTGGAAGCAAGGACTAAATGGCATAACACCTGGGACTGCTCCAATCCCCTTGATGCATCTAGGGCCAAACTCTGGTGGGCTGCACAGATGTTTCATTGGACCCTGTTTGCCAGCAATCCTATTCCTAATCTCTTAAAGCACAGGCTCACTCCGAGCTGTCCTCAAGGCACCTGGAGGTAAACTTGCATGTTTTGCATAAGGATTAGCCACTTACCAGCCTAGTGGGCAAATCTGTCTACTTTCATAGCTAAAATTAAGGGCTACTTGCATATAAGACACAGCAATGGGATATACCTTATACATTTATCAATCAACTTTCCCAGGCAACTTCCTCTACCATGAACCATGACACCAATAGATGGAGATGCTGTGTAGTTTGCTCTGCAGTAGCAAAAAGCCCAGCATATCTAGTACTTTCACACACACAATAATGCACTTTCAATAGAAGAAGAAGAAGAAGAAGAGATTGGATGTATACCCCAGGGCCCTTCACTACCTGAAGGAGTCTCAGAGCGGCTTACAAACTCCTTTCCCTTCCCCACCCCACAACAGACACCCGTGTGAGGTCAGTAGGGCCGAGATAGCTCTTGACAGAAACTCCTCTTTTTCAAGGACAGCTCTTATCAGAACTACGGCTTACCCAAGGTCATCCGGCCAGGTGCAAGTGGAGGAGTGGGGAATCAAACCTGGTTCTTCCAGATTGGAGTCCGCGCACTAAACCACTACATCAAACTGGCTCTCTGTACTTTGCAATGGGATTTTACCGTGTGAAACAGCAAAATCCATTTGCAAATGATCACTAATGGTTTTATATGGTTTTTTTTGAGCCCCCGGAGGGGATTTTTTTATTATTTTTTGTATCACTACAAAAACTACAACAGAAGAAAAAGGAAGGGAAACTACATTTACGGGACAAAGTAAAGAACCCACTACTAACTAAAAACCCAAGAGAGGAGATCCTCCTACTAGCTTAGTTACATCAAGTCTTCCCATCATTGATCCCATTTACAAACTGAGTCAAACATTTAGAGTACTTTCCTTTCAAGCTTAAAATTTAACTGTCTAAACACAGTACCCACAATCATCCCATTTCAAAGTTCTCAAAGGCACAATTCAGAGTCTTTCAGCCTTTACTTCTCCTTTCCCCTTCTCTTCCGTAACTTATAAGGACTTTTTGGGGCCGCTGCCCCTTGCTCTGCCAGAGAGTCCTCTCCGGAAGAACCCGAGTCTACCTCGCCACCGAACCTGCTGTCCTCTTCTTTTTTGCCGTCCTCTGGCTTTCCCAACTGAACCCTGAGAAATTCTTGAGCTTTCATAACAGAGACAATTTTTTCTTTTTTATCCTTAATCTTGAAAGCTTTACCTTCTGGTTTAATATGGTTTTAACTTGTTTTATGTGATGGCTTATGCCGATCTGTGAGCCACCCTGAGCCCACGTAGTGGGGAGGGCAGGCTATAAATTGAAATTATAAATAAATAAATAAAATAAAGTGCATTGAAAGTGCTTTATTCAGTGCACCTGACATCTAAGGGGAAATGCGAGATAATGTACATGTAAGAACTAAATTGAGGAGCTGCGGTGGCTCAAGTGGTTAAGACGCTGAACTGCAGGCTGTGGAAGGTCAGTAGTTCACCAGTTCAAGACCCGAGTTGCCACATGACGGAGTGAGCTCCCGTCTCTAGTTCCAGCTCCTGCCAACCTAGCAGTTCAAAAGCAAGAAATTGCAAGTAGATAAATAGGTACCACTTTGGTGGGAAGGTAACAGTGTTCCGTGCGCCTTGATGTTTAGTCATGCCGGCCACATGACCATGGAAACGTCTTCGGACAGTGCTGGCTCTTTGGCTTTGAAACAGAGATGAGCACCGCAACCCTAGAGTCGGACTCGACTGGCTTTCGAGCAAGGGAAGCTTTACCTTTTAAGAACTAAATTATAAACCCATAAACTCCTAAAATGCTAGTGTCTTTTTAAAGTGACATTAACCCCAGAGTACTGCCTTATCACTTTAAAAGTGTACATATCTCTGAGACACCAGCAATAACTGAACTCAGTAACACAACCAAATGCGTGCAAACCAAGAAGGATCATCACCTGGGTGTGCAGCGCCCCCTGCTGCATACATGGCAAAACTGGAACCAATCAATCAAAACTTTATGTTGAATATTCATCCTTTTATCTGAGCAAAGCCTGTCCTTAAACATTGAAGAGTTCACCTAGACTGTGGTTAGCATCAGTTATGTATTTCTCATTGCCAGAGGCATTAAGCAAGGAGGCAGGCAAAATTAATGCAGAACCAAGAGGAAGGCAATCATCGACAGGGAAAGAGCACATACCATCAAGAGGGAAAAAAGCAAACTTTTAAAACTTGAAATTTCCTAATTAGCTAACATAGTGTTGAATCCAGCTCTTGGTATTTTTTCACACCGGAAAAAACTAGAAAGAGATTTTCTTTGGTTAGATAAACCTCCTAGAAATTCTTCTAAAGTGCTTACACAACCAATTAGAAGGGAAGGTCTTGGTCTACCAAATTTGAAATTATATTAGGCTATTAGACTAGCTAATCCCAAGGAATGGATTTTAACTGGTAAGAAAACATTCATTGTAGAATTATTTATCCCAGGTAATTATTGTTTGAAAATAAATTTACATTTGGATAATCCTGGCTTAAAAGTGGTGCTTTTTGAATGGTGTAAGGTGAGATCTTTATTAAGTCCCGGACTTTCTCTGTTGACTGTGGTGAATGTCAGTTATGCACTTCTCATTGTCAAAGGCATCAAACAACCAGGCAGGCAAAATCAATGCTGAACAAGAGGCAAGCTATCTAAAATAGGGACAGAGCACACGCATCATGAAGGATTCAAAGCAACATTTAAAAAGGCAATTCCCAAGTCTGAAGGCAGTGTCAAGGTGTTCAGCTAATCACCCATAATTGGTACACAGAGAGTTAACAAATCCAGTGCATCTGCCAATCAGCTGACACATAAGGTTCAAAGCCTGGCGGAAGACCTCCCTCTTGCAGGCCCTGTGGAACTGCAAAAGGACCCGCAGGGCCCTGATCTCCTCCGGGAGCTCGTTCCACCAGGATGGGGCCGCTACTGATTAAACACCAAGGGCACGGAACGCTGTTACCTTCCCACCAAAGTGGTACCTATTTATCTATTTGCAGTTTCTTGCTTTCGAACTGCAAGGGTGGCAGGGAGGTGGGACCAGAGACGGGAGCTCACTCCGCCACGCAGCACTCAGGTCTCAAACTGCCGAGCTATGGACCTTCCGGTCTGCAGCTCAGCACCTTAACCCCTGAGCCACCGCGGCCCCTCAGTACCTGGTAGACTCAGCCAAGCATCCTGTCTTCTGCCAACTAAATATAATGGTTATCCCTGGCCTGGAATATCCAGAAAATAAGCTGTAATGCCAGCAAGGCATCAAACCTCCCTCCTCCTTGGTCCAGCATCTTTGCTCAACTCACCATATCGACAGGTGCAACTGAGCAGCAGAAATCCCAGTGGAAAGGCAACCCAGAGAGCTCACTCTTCACATGAAGGGTCAGTGTGCCTGGGCTGAGCTGGCAGGAGAAAGAGGTGGAACTGGTCGTCTGCCCGTCCAAAAGGGGACCCATCAGACTGCGCAGGTGGTTCAAGAAGGAGGAGGCATGAGCAGTCAGTCGCTTATTTAAATCCTGGGAGAGGCAAAAAATCAGGCAAGAACGGCAGAGAGAAGTAACCGCCACCGCCCCCCAAACAGTGAGCAACATATGTGCATCAGTCCTACGAGCCTAGAAACCACACTAAGGCGGAGGTCAGACTGGCAGTTTGGCCCGATAGAGGCACGTTTCACAAACGGATTAAAGGGGCCGGTTCATACAGCCACAGCTGCCAGGCGTTCCCCAGCCGTACTCAACCCGTCCTGTGATGGTTCCCTACCGCATTAAAAAAGTACCAAGTGAAAGCCATAGCAAAACCCTGGAGGGCGCATTGATCCCGCTTCCTGGAAGTGTGCACCCTAAAAGCCGCGAACAAGCCGCATTGCTGCAGTGCTGCGCCTATGCACATAGGCGCATGTCGCCGGAGTGAAAAAAAGCCACTTACAGCCATGCCTCCGCCAGGGGCGGGCCAACAGTGCGAACGCTCCCTTGCGCCTCCTCCCCGGTATGCTCCCGCATCAGTAGGTGCAGTGTCACCGGGAATCCCCGGCACAACTTGGCCTGGGTCTTTTTAGTCTGTCCTCAGACTAAAGGCATCTTGGCAAGATTTTTGCACATTTATGTTAACATATATTCATTTCCAATTAATTTATTTAAATTGACATCCCAAGAATAAATAAGAGTTTATAAAAAGAAATAATAATCGTATATGTACAGATTGTATATATTCTCAAATGGAATGTTTTTGTTGAAAAAATTTTCCGAACACTCAAAATACAATGGTGTGTACCTGGGAACATGCAATACCTTCTTTGGCAAGCACAATCATATCTCTATTAATTACTGATTAGAATGCGGTAGTATGAATATCACTGGGTATGGATTATAACAAGTGCTGATCAACCATAGAACTCCCTCACTGGTCACCTTCTATGTCAATATGTGATTTTTTAAAAATGCTAGCAGGAGTTAAGGAAGCTTTTACTAATAGCTGGAGGCTGCCAATCAAGAATCCCTTCTCTCTATAGAACTGTCCTGTCAGTATTTTATTTTAAGCTTGAACTAACAGGACAGCTGTTGAGGTAGCGCAAGGCTCTTTTTGTAGCAGGAACTCCCCTGCATATTAGGCGACACACCCCTAATGTAGCCAATCCTCCAAGAGCTTACAGAGCTCTTCTTACAGGGGCCACTGTAAGCTCTTGGAGGATTGGCTACATTAGGGGTGTGTCGCCTAATATGCAAAGGAGTTCCTGTTAATAACCACATGAGTATTTTGCAACCAATTCTTTACTTACCTTTGACCTCTGTTGTATGATCTGAGTGTCTGCCCTTTCATACCACATATAGGTGAGGTCACAGAGGAGCAAGGCATAGCCAGCATTTCCAAAATAAGCCTTGGCCAGCAGTGTGGACTCAGCGAAGCAGACAGAAGCCCAGGGCTGCAGAAGCAGTCTGGTGTCCACGTTGTCAATGTCCTCCATCCTGTAATGATGATTAAATTCACTTTCATATGACTGATTTAAATATACCGTTCTTATTTGCATAGTAAACAAACTGAGCTCATTCCTACAGATCAGTGAACTGCCAACAAAGAGTCCAAAAGCCAACAAAGGAAGCATCTTTTGAAATGAGATCAGGATTGTTTATCATTGAGGTTGGCACCACTGAGCTGTCACTCTAAAAAGCCTCACACAGAATGTGCTGTTGATTTCCGATGATCCTCATTCACCGCTAAGTCCCTGCACTGAAATGCTTACTCCGGGCCAGGCACCAGTTTCCTTTTTTGAATGAACAGGTGATGTCAGTTTTATAGCCCTGGGAATCAAGAGTACTTTTCAGAGGCCACAACATTGTTACAAGGTTGCTATCCCCTTGCTAAACACAAAGATGCCCTGGGCTGTTTTTATACCAACTCAAAATCCTCCCTGTCTCATTAAGTGGCCAGCTTGACAATCAGCCCCAAACATTCCTCACCTATGAAAAACATGATACCTGCAAGCAAAACAAAGGCTTCTTTTTTTCCAATCAACACAGGTGCACTCTGAATAATACAAAACTACCTGAAAGCAGTAGCAGATGGATATCTGCTTGCTCTGATTTTGTACATTATTAAAGAACTTCTTCACCACCTTGGTCTGCCCCACAACCCTTTCCTAATGTAAGCAAGAAGTCTCATACAGAAGTCATGCTGATAGTTCCTTCTTAGAACTTGTTGCTGCATAGAGAAGAACAAGAAGCCATATTGAAAAAGAATCATGACTTTTGCAAAGGAAAGCCCCTCCTCACTGATATCTTGGAGATCTATGAGAATGTAAACAAGAATGTGGGAAAGGTGATTCTGTAGACCTTGTGTACTTGGGGCTTCTAAAAAGCTTAAGATAGTGTGACTTCTCTCACCAAGGACTCCTGAGTAAACTTAACAGGAGACAGATTATCTCATGGATTAGTAATTAGTTTTAAAAATAAGAATCAGCCTGTAGAACAGGGGTGTCCCTAACTTTTTTGGAATCCTAAGACAGGGTGGCAGCCATTGCAACCACAAAAAGACTGCCACAGGAGGCAGGGCCTTACGCACCCCCCAGAGGAAGTCCAAGTGATGGGGAGAAGAGGGACAATTTTTAAAATACATTGGAAAAGAGTAGATCTTGAAACCAGCCCTCATCACAGCTGCTACTGCTGAAGCCACAATGTCCTCACAGCTGCACGGCCAACCAGCTCTCCAGTGGCCGACTAGAAGCTGTGCTGGACAAGTGCCCCACCTGGCTTCACCCAGTCTCTGGAAACTGCCCAAGTGCCAAAGGGATTGGTTGGGGGGGGGGGGGGGGGGGCCTGCGGCAGGCAGGCACCTCACCGGGGACCCCTGCTGGAGAAGTTGCCGTGTTAAAAATTGAAACCGCGGGGGTCCCGCAGGAAACCGTTGTTACCAGGGGTCTTGTTGTAGAAAAAGAGCTGCCGGAGCTCATTAGCATAACTCATTAGCATAACTTATTTGCATATGCCACGCCCCCTGACATCACCGGAAATGACAGAAGGCCACACCCCCTGACATCACCGGAAGTGTGTCAGAAGGCCCGGCTACTTACCCTCCTGCTTCATCCTCATTCCCAAACGGAATGAGGATCGAAGCAGAGGGCGGGGTAAAGAAGGGGGCGGGGCTTCACCACGTGACCGCCCCGCCCCCTAGAGGTTCTCTTCCGGAGCTCCGTACCTGAGAGCTCCCCCCCGACTAGAGCCCTGGTTGTTAGAATTGCTACTATTCCATTTGTTTAAAAGTGATCTAGAATCATATACAAAGGGGTCATGTCTAGAGATGTAAAATTTCCGGAAATGTTGACGCCCGGGGGTGGGTGGGGCCGAAGGCCACTGTGGTGCCCTTCTACGTTCGCGCCCGTAGGCAACTGCCTGACCTCGCCTCATGAAAGCACCGGCACTGTCCGTGGAGCACACAAACAGCGCCAACTTGCCAGTAGGGTTGCCAGCCTCCAGGTGGGGCCTGGGGATCTCCCGCTTTCACAACCAATCTCCAGCTGACAGAGATCAGCTCCCCTGGAGAAAATGGCTGCTTTGGAGGGTGGACTCTCCAGTGTTGCACCACACTGAGGCTCCTCCCCGACCCCTGCCCTCTCCCAGCCCCACTCCCAAAGTCTCCAGGTATTTTCCAACCCAGACCTGGCAACCCTACTTGCCAGTCTGACTGCACCCTGCGCTGGCTTCTGAAACACAGCGTACAGAATGGTTAAGCCCGTGAATGCTTGCAACTTAATGGTAAGCGCAGGGGTCATTTCCTGCGGGAGCGCACAGGAGCGGAGCTCCGGCAGTAAGAAGCCCAGGGGGCGGGCACATGCAACAAGCCCCACCCCCTGCTCCCAGCAGCCCTCAGTCAGGCCACGAGGAGCAAGAAGCAGCCAGGTAAGTTGCAGAGCCGTGGTAGTCCCCCCCCTTAGGCACAAGCTCTCCCCCCTCTGCGAGGACAGTCTCCCCCCCCCCCCCCCCAAGAGCTAGCAATCCAAAACAGTCCAGTGTAGCCTGAGCAGCGGGTGCTGCCTTCTGACACGCTTCCGGTGATGTCAGGGGGTGTGGCATATGCAAATAAATTATGTTAATTAGTTATGCTAATGAGATCCAGCACCTCTTTTTCTACGAAATGACCCCTGGGATATACTACAGCTTTCGGTAAAACAAGAGGTTCCAACTCACCTTTCTTTCATCTCAGGACAAACAATATATATTAATATAATATGTATAGACCATATGTATTGTATAAACGATCTGTATCAATAATCTATGGAGCTGCGGTGGCTCAAGTAGTTAAGACGCTGAACTGCAGGCTGTGGAAGGTCGGTAGTTCAGCAGTCCGAGACCCGAGTGAGCCGCATGACGGAGTGAGTTCTCGTCTCTGGCCCCAGCTCCTGCCAACCTAGCCGTTCGAAAGCAAGAAATTGCAAGTAGATAAATAGGCACCACTTCGGTGGGAAGGGAACAGCGTCCCGTGTGCCTTGGTATTTAGTCATGCCGGCCACATGACCACGGAAACGTCTTCGGACAGCGCTGGCTCTTCGGCTTGGAAACGGAGATGAGCATCGCAACCCTAGAGTCGGACTCGACTGGCTTTCGAGCAAGGGAGACCTTTACCTTTAATCTAACACATCGCTATTTGGAAGCCAGCTCCACTGAGCACAGTTCCCCCGCCCCCCCCGTGCCCCTCCACCAAGGCGAAGCCAGAAGGAAAGGAAGGCGTGGAGGAGCGGGCGGAGAGCCTTCCTTGCAGCACCGGAGAGCGCCTCGACGCAAACCCCGATCTCGCCTCGCGCCAGCTGCACGGCACCCACCGCCCACCGCCCCCCGAGGCGGACAAGAACGGGGAGGTCCCAACCTGTCCTCTCGCTTTAGAAGTTTAAACTGCTTTTCGAGGGAGGGCGGGAGGGAGTAACCCAGCTTCGAACGACACACACACCTTCGAACGATACATCAACCCTTCCTGTTCGGGGGACTACAACTCCCAGAATACCATTCTCACTCCTCCAGCATGCCGGGAGTTGTAGTCATCGGGTACAAGGGGATCCATTGAGGGCCAGGGACGAAATCCCCGTGCTTCTCAAGGAAGGAGCCGCAGGAAGTGTGGGGGATCGTTGCTGCTGGGGATTTCTTTTCTTTTTTACCTTTTGCCCGGGGCTGTTTGGAGTCCCGTTGCCAGAGCGACGCGTAGCGTCACATCCTGGCGACGGCGGGTGCAACGTGTGTCGCCGTCCCCGCGGCAGAGCTCCGGTAAAAACTCGCAGATCCCCCGCTGCCCGCCTCGAGGCGGAGGAATGTCGAGGCGGGGGTTCGGCCGCTGCCGGAAAGGCTCCTCCCCTCCGCCGCCTCCCGGAGACTCTGGCTGAAGCCGTTTGGTCCCCCCTGGGCTGCAGCCGCCTTGCATTAGATCCGTTGGCTGAGAAGCGTCCCGCGTGCACCGTAAGTCCTTCGATAAAGGCTATAGGCTGAGCCAAAGATTGCATATAGATCAATGCTCCCTTCTAAGCTGTGGAGTCCTGTGAGCAAAAACTCTACTTTGTGAGCACCTGGGTGTGAGCGGGCGATTTGGCTGCTGCATAGATTAGTTAGTTCTGGAGCCCTCCCTTCCTGAGCTCAGACAAGAATGTGTGAACCATTGGCTCAAAAACTGTGAGCTAGCTCACACCAACTCAGCTTAGAGGAAACACTGCCCCTGAGCAATGCTCCCTCTAAGCTGTGGAGCCTTGTGAGCAAAAACTCTACTTTGTGAGCTACCAGCATGAAAGCTGTGAGCGGGCAATTGGGCTACTGCATCAATTAGTTTGCTCTGGAGCCCTCCTTCCTGGGCTAAGACAAAAATGTGTGCGACAGAGGCTAAAAAACTGTGAGCTGGCTCACACTAACTCAGTTTAGAGGGAACACTGCCCCTGAGCAATGCTCCCTCCAAGCTGTGGAGTCTCGTGAGCAAAAACTACTTTGTGAGCTCCTGGTATTAAAGCTGTGAGCGAGCGATTTGGCCGCTGCATCAATGAGTTTGCTCTGGAGGTTCGGACAAAAATGGGTGAGCCTGAGGCTAAAAAACTGTGAGCTAGCTCACACTAACTCAGCTTGGAGGGAACACTGCCCCTGAGCAATGCCCCCCCTAAGCTGTGGAGTCTTGTGAGCAAAAACTCTACTTTGTGAGCTACCAGCATGAAAGCTGTGAGCAGGCGATTGGGCTACTGCATCAATTAGTTTGCTCTGGAGCCCTCCTTCCTGAGCTGAGACAAAAATGGGTGAGCTGGAGGCTAAAAAACTGTGAGCTAGCTCACACCAACTCAGCTTAGAGGAAACACTGCCCCTGAGCAATGCTCCCTCTAAGCTGTGGAGTCTCGTGAGCAAAACCTCTACTTTGTGAGCTACCAGCATGAAAGCTAAGAGCGAGCGATTTGGCCGCTGCATCAGTGAGTTTGCTCTGGAGGCGTCCTTCCTGAGCAGAGACAAAAATGGGTGAGCCGGAGGCTAAAAAACTGTGAGCTAGCTTGCACTAACTCAGCTTAGAAGGAACACTGCATACCACGTATAGTAGTTTTAAAAATACCCGTAGCGGTATGTCGTCTAACGTTGAGAGAATCGTCGTAGGAACAAAATTGATACATTCCTCGCGCAGGGTTCCTTTAGTTATAGATGGGCTCATGCTATCTCTTGAGCAACAGGGTTACGGTCAACTAAAAGCACCTTCGTGGGGAGAGATTAAATACAGCCCTCTATTCCAGAATCTGAAGGCTCAACTTGAGGGAGAAGCCCTGCCTAACCTTTAGACCACTCCCGAGTCCCAACTGCTGCAGATCTTAAGGATTACTGGCTCCCTCCCTCCCCTTCCATATTTTCTCCTTCAACTTCCCCCCCCAGTGAAATATTTATATTTATTTGGAACCCGCTTTTTCTTAATGAACAATGTGCAAGACTGAACAATTGCGTACGTGTAATTTTTATTTAAGAAAAATAAATTTGACAATATTGTTTATTGTTACAAAGAACGCTTGTGCACGCTACAGTTCTCTCCCTTGTGGAACAGTTTCCCTCCCTCTTCCCTGCTGCAGACATCACAGCTGCAATACAGGCAGTGCGGCAAACTCTGTGCATATAAAACTAGCGAATGGAGTGTGATTGGATTTTGTATTAACACTACATCAGGAAGTTGGCCTTCCCCTAGTGTACACACACACACACAAGTAAAATATAACATGTAACAGGAAGTGTAGTCCAGGGGCTGGAACCAGGCAGTATTTTCTGCTAAGGGGTGTAAGTTTTGCTAGCTTGGCTGCTGACCCCCAGTTTGCCCCCCATGTCATTCCTGGGGGTTTTCTACCCTTCAGTAGCAGCATTTCAGGGAGATCAATGGCTGCAGCAGTAGGGGAGGAGGCAGGAACGTTGTATTCCACTAACAGAAGTGCCTTCCACTAACAGGAAACATAGTTCGGAACTGCGAGACTACAATGTGAGTTGGATAAATTCTTCCCTCCCTTCATAGCTGAAGATAATGGCATAAAGAGGAAGGACAGGCATGTAGAGGAGATAAACCAGATTCCTCCCCATCCCAGCTGCCCTGCCACATCCCAGGTACATTTTAGCTGCTCTGTAAACTAGGTCTGCAGACTACCTCGTAGTAAGTTGTAGGCAAATCCACATAGGCAAAAATTACATGGGAAGTATTAATGTATCAGAGAGGCAATGAAAATGAGCTCCAGATACGATGTTAATTGCACCTTTGTAGATATGTCCTTGCAGAGACACTGGGAATGTGCTAGGAGTGCTACTTTAGCTTGTTTTTGAGCAGCCTTTTTAAGTATACTCCAAATCTGATTCCAGATTATCTGAAACAAAACTCCTTTGAAAAAAATACCCATGCTCATATAATACTTGTATCTTAGCAAAGGGTCCTCTCATTAGCTAATATTGTTACACATTTATGGTTCCCCAAATTATCTTGTTTACTGTCTGACTCCAGCTCCATTGCCTCAG